CACTCCAGTTTCAGCACTCAGTGCCGAAAAGGTTAACCATCAGTGGTTTAGCTCCTTCCTGAGTGGACATTTCCATTCAGAAGCCTTCATGGAACAGCAGTTGAGCTTGTAGCAACTCATTTCTGGGTGCCATGAAGCTTTGTTCTCTCCCAAAAGGTATTCAATACTTTTAATGAAATCCCAGAGAGAGAATACATTGATTCAGGCTAAAATGTAATCTACATGTGCTAACACCCAACTATGTCTGTATTGTGGGTTGTATTGAAGATGGCTCCATATGGTGGCTGGAGGATTGGAGCACACAAAATATAGGCAGACTGAATAAGATAGAGTTACAGTTTGTCTGGAAACCATCTGATTTATTACCAACTCCATTATCCATCATACCCTTCTAAAGAAGCAGGTCTGCCATTTGGATAAATGTAATAAATCTAAATCTTAGAACACTGCCATGAGAATTAATGGTGAAAGACTTTCTGGAAAAGCCAGGTTTTTACCAGATGCTATAAAAATGAGGGCTGTTCTTCTCTTTAAGGATAAGTTACGGAAATGAGTCACAATTATATCTATTTCTATTTGGGTGGCCTTTCTCTGCACCTTCCAATGCATGTTTGGGCAGAATAGGCAGCTTTCATCACGGAAAGCTGGTCTTTTAGATATTCAGGTTCCAAGTAATTAAGAGTTGGAATGGTGATGATCAGCACCTTGAACTGAACCCAGAAACATACTGGTAACAAATGCAGCTTCCATGGCAATGGTTAATATGGCAACATTAAACCTGAACAGTAAAACATGTGGGCTGATGCATTCTGGAGGAGCTACACTTTCTTGATAGTCCACAAGGACATTCCCATGTAGAATTATAAGAATCCAAATGAGAGATATCAAGGACATGAATAATTGTTATCAGTATAACCTGTTCCACAAAAGGCTACAGCTGAGCATCAGTCAAAGCTAAGAAAAGGCTGTGTCTAACTATGGCTTCTATCTGCTGCTTTATCGGAAGGATTTCCCATCCACAAATCCTGTTCTCTCTGAGTTAGAACCTCTTCAGAAGATTTTGAGTCTACTCATGGAAAGAGTAGACTTTTGAATTAAGAGCCTTTTTCTTTGGGTAGAGTCTACACCTGATTCTCCTCATCCAGACCCTGACAATCTCCAGGAACCCGGTTAGAACATTTAATACATGTCCCATTTTGCTCTGGCTGGAGATATCCAACTGGGTTGAGAGGAAAGCTAAGAAACTTGTGGCTGGATGGAGTTGATGAGCTGTGGTTTTTTTTAAGTGAGATGTGGAAAATTTAAAGAGCAATGGGGAATCTAATAAGTACATGGGTATGATGGAAGTAAGATATGCCGAGGTATGGTGAAAGAATTAAACTAGATTCTTTTTAAAAATTACACATTAATGGAAAATATCTGATAAAAATACTTTTATACAATGGAAGTATTGTATACTTTAAAAGAATGATGTCCATCAATTGTGAAGGTTTGTTGCCATATTTTAGATAGCATCATATTAGATAACTAAAGTACAATCCTTTTTATTCCCCTTGAGGCAGAAGGAAGAGCCGTGGCCCTACACAATGATCAGATAAGAGGCTGCTGAGTCCCCAGAAGAAATTGGGCATGACAAACATCTCAGAAGGTATGCTCTCTAGTTTAACTGACTGCAAAGGTAATGGGGGGAGGGAGAGATGTATTTTCAAACTTGCAAAATTATGTTGATGTAATTATACAATAAAGTACAGGTAGTATTTCTGGGTGTGCTTCTTGCCTGGACTATTTCAGAAGTCTGATAATAACAGAAGATATGAAGATATGAAACAAAATATTTCTCTCATAACATTGCTGGTATAATAGCAAAAAGGAAAATAAAATAAAATGTTATTAGCACTTGAAATATTACAATAAAACCAGATATTTGTAGCTCAGGGTTGACATGAGGGGTCTTTGGTGCTTTCTAAGCTTGGTTGTTTTCTCACAAACTAGGCAACATCATCAGTGCTATGGTGGTAAGGAGTGGGATTTTCTCTCAGTTTATATTCTAGAGGCTTTCCTGTCAGTCTTGGTGGGAGTGATCTTGGAGGTTCTTTGGTTGGGCTATTTACTATTTACCCATAGCTTGTTTAGCATTCCTTGATTGGGGTATATCCCAAACAGGAAACTGGTTAAAATTGTTTTACTCAGGTATCTGATGAATTCAGGTGTTTTTTCTGAAGGTACTTGTGGAATGTCTTGTGTCATCTACCGGCAATACTGTTAAAGTCTGTCTGAATTGTAAAATATGCAAAATTACCCCTTTAGTTAACCTTATAGTACCTAAATACCATCTTTCCTTTACCTGGAAGCTGACAGCAATGAAGCAATAGCAATAGCACTTATATACCACTTCACAGTTCTTTACAGCCCTCTCTAATCGATTTACAGAGTCAGCATATTGCCTCCAACAATCTGGGTCCTCATTTTACCAACCTCAGAAGGATGGAAGGCCAAGTCAACCTTGAGCCAGTGGGAATTGAACTGCCAAACTGCTGGCAGTCAGCATAAATAGCCTAAGGTACTGTATTCTAACCACTGTATTCTGCACAGGAAGTGTATTCTGACACTTCCTGTGCAGAATTGACAGCAATTGTCCACATTGTTCTTAGAATCCATATGACAACTGCTATGCACTCACATTAGCCTACTAATGAAAGGTTTGAGGAAAACATGGCAGCCAGAACAAGATAGAGGAATCATATAAAACTGTTACTAAAAGATCTGTGCTGACTACCAAATTATCACCAGGCTTGATTTAAGGTGCTCCTGTTTATTTATTTGATTTTGGTACTATCTGCCTCAAGAACATAATATAATAATATAAATTACATTTACACACAAAAACACAAAGAAATAACACAATGACAATACAATGTCAACAGAAACCAAAAAATCATCAATTACCTCTAATGAGGAAACAGAATGTCACATGCATCCTACCACAAAGTCAGGTATTTCAGGATCACAGAGAGGACTTTATTCCACATGGCAGGTGCCGCCACAGAGAAGGCACATTTTCTGGGTCCCAAAAGATGACACTATTTGTCCTTAAGGCCAGAAATGTCTTAGAACCTGATTATTTGAAAGAGTGCTTTTTTAACTATGAGCCTTCTTGGTTATGAAGACCCACAGCAGAGACCCTTCTAAAGATGCCACCATTGCTAGAAGCTCAATTACTGCCAATGCAAGGAGGACATTATTCTGTGTGGCCTCTAGATTATGAAATGTATTCCCCAAAGAGGTACATTTGGCACTTATTCTTCCTATATTTAGTAATCCATCATGTTATTTTTAGTTATGAATAAATCTTTTGAGAAGATTCCAAAATATACATAATACCTATTATTACCCATTATTTATCCCCCCACACTTATAATATTTAGAAGTATACATTTTGTTTCAATTAATCCATCCTAATCCATAATTTGAAAATTATAGTCACTGTTGATCTCCATGAATTAATTAAATTATTATTTCTAACCAATACTTTTGTACATGCAAATGATGTAAAGGAGCACTCCTACTATATTGGTATGTAATTTATAGCTCATCTCTAAGTACTAATATAAAATACACTCAGACCCACTGATCTGATAACACATGAAAACTTTCCTATTTGTTTTATTAGAAGGAGAACTTTCCTCTATGACAAGGGTGTCAAGTTCAATTTCACTGAGGGCTGCATCAGGGTTGTGTTTGACCTCAGGGGCCTGGGGTGGGCATGGCCCAGGTGGGTGTGGCCAGTTTAACATCACACATGTCAGGGGCACCTGTGGTAGCCCGAGCACTTTGCCAGTGAAAACGGGTTCCCGAGCTCCATTTTTTGCTGCAACAGCCTCCTGCAACCCTCTGCCAGTGAAAACGTAGCTCCATTTTTGTTGGCAATGGCACTGCAGGCTGGTCCTTTGCTGTTTCCAGAATGGCTCTGAGGGCCAGATCTAAGCACCCCACAGGCCAGATCCAGCCCCCGGGCCTTGAGTTTGACACCCCTGCTCTATGAAATATGTATAACTATGTATTGGTTAATAGAAAATCTATTCAGTGAGATAGCTCAACTTCTGCACTAAAACATGCTGGGAAAGATTTACTGGACTTGGGTATGAGATTTCATATATCAGCCATTTCCTCCATCTTTTACCAAGAAACATATTTTAATGTTTCTTTGTAAAACCCCTATACTGTTATTCCTAGTAGTGCAACTGCATGACAACTGCATCCTCCAATGGAGACAATCACTTTATTCCTGCAATAAGATGCTACCCTGCCTGCCCTTAATATCTGGATAACTTTTGGAACAGATTTCAGAGATGGACCGAGACTGCAGGTTAGAGGATGTATAAGTATGTAAGTAAGTAAGTAAGTAAGTAAGTATGTATGTATGTATGTATGTATGTATGTATGTATGTATAAGTTCATTTAAGTTATTGAAAGTAGCCCATTAAAAGATGACTGACACCTAGTTGAAAAAATTAACCGAAACCATTTTGGAAACATAACATTCATACATAATTATTTAGCTACCTTAATTGACAACATTCTTCATTTTTTGTTTTTGCATTATCAAAAACTCATAAAGATCCTAAACTTTTCAAAGATTGGACACACTCAATAACATTGAAAATGATTTTAATATTTGCATTGTATTATTAAAGGCAGCATGTATTATTCAGTAGCGTTTTAAGCATTTTCAGAAAACAGCATATTCAGTCATTCAGTAGATTACTCATGATATTAGAGATAGGTAAAGGAGGCGGAGTTAAGTGTCTAAGACTACAACTTTGTGAATTCACAAAATCTCAAATTATCTTTTTAGATTTAGATTGATAAAGCAAGCTAATTAAACGAAACTCAAACCAGAAGAATGCAAAATAAATTGAGATTTATTCCAAAATCCCTGCTCCTTACCAATCTCTAGGTATTCATGATAGAATGATAATTATGATGGTGACATTATTTAC